TAATATATATATATATATATATATATATATTCATAATATATTTTAATATTTAATAATAAATATTTAATAATATATATAGAACATTTTTTATTCTTCTATATTTAAATTACATGTAAATAAAATACATATAAAATATACATTAATATTAATAAATTCATAATTTTATATAATATTTAAATATATTAAATATGATTGAATTAATAAATTAGTTGGTTTCTTTTCAGATTTTCTAATCCTAAATATTGATTTTGTGAACACCTAAACAATCATCCATAAAATTGCCCAAGTGAATTCTAGGAGGCTAGTAGACAGTTGATCAACTCACCGTCCTGTCTGACGAGGCCCTGCTGGATGTACCTGATGTAAGTGAAGAAATTACACACGGCTGTGATCTGTGAGGAGAGGACGCTGTTTATTAACCGGAAAAAAGCATCTGAGAACTGCTTCTTAAAAGCGGGTTCTGAAGAATGAGAGGGAGAGATACAGTATAGACACGTACTCGTGCTCTGCTAGATGGAGATATATAGTAGTAATTCTCTTTATCTCCCAGTTTGATGCGATGTCGGCAGGGGCGGGACATGCCACTCAATGCACATTTACTGTTCAATCAAAAGAGAACACTGGTCAATGGAGCTGTCAATCAAACTACTGAACACTCGTAACAGCCAATAAGATACAAGCAGGACGGAACAACACGCCCAGCAAAGAACAAAACACAGAAAACCTGTTCTTCACCTGTGTGAAACTAATTACTTTCAACAAACATTTCTAACACTGAAACATATACATTAAATATATAAGAGAAAAAAACTTTTTAAAAAGTCTAAATAAGCCTCCACATGTTGAACATTTTTTTACCGGTAAATGGAAAAAACGTCCTGTTGTTGACTTCTTGAAATATGAATGTCTTGTAAACATTTACCTCAGTGTTAACAAAGTGGCACATTTACTGCACTCAGTCTTTCCCAAAGCAAAAACAGCACAAAGCCTGTGGAGAGTCAAACTGTACGGCTGTTATCCGTTAGCTCGGGGAGTGCTAGTGTTCTGGGAATTCCTCTGTAGTGCTTCCCTCAATACATGCATGAATATGGAGCTATAAAACTCCAGCATGGGAGTGTTTCAGTGAAAGTTGAGATGACCGTGCTGTATTTCTGTTTGTAAGCTGGTTCTCTAGCTCTCCTCCGTCGGGAAATATCCCAGTTTGGCCACACATTAAATATATAATATAAAATAAATATTAATA